TTTTTGAGACAGAGTTTCACTCTTGTTGTTCAGGTTGGAGTGCAATGGCATAATCTCGGCTCACTGCAACCTCTGCCTCTCAGGTTCAAGCGATTTTCCTGCCTCAGCCATCCGGGTAGCTGAGATTACAGGCATGTGCCACCATACCTGGCTAATTTTTGTATTTTTAGTAGAGATGGGGGTTCTCCATGTTGGTTAGGCTAGTCTCGAACTCCTGATCTCAGGTGATCCACCCACCTCGGCCTCCCAAAGTGCTGGGATTACAGGCGTGAGCCACCACGCCAGCCACATTTTTCTGTTAGCTTCCATTGTGAGCATTTCCTTGAACTCCTGACCTCAGGTGATCCACCCGCCTCGGCCTCCCAAACTGCTAGGATTATAGGCATGAGCCACTGCGCCCGGCCCATTGTGAGCATTTTCAAAAATATTTTCCTTAGCCCCATAATTTTTTTTTATGACTACAGCTATCAACCTTATAATGACTTTTTTTTTTTGGAGACAGGGTCTCGCTGTGTCCCTCAGGCTGGAGTACAATGGCGCTATCTCAGCCCACTGCAGCCTCAACTTCCGGGGTCAAGCAATCCTCTCATCCTCTCACCCCAGCCTCCTGAGTAGCTGGGACTACAGGCATGCACCACCATGCCTGGGTAATTTTTGTAGAGATGGGGTTTTGACATGTGGTCCAGGTTGGTCTCTGTCTCGAACTCCAGGACTCAAGCAATCCATCCACTTCAGCTTTACAAGTGCTGGGATTACAGGCATGAGCCACCACACCTGACTGTTATAATATTTTTAAAATGTGTACTTCTAATCTTAATTACTTTGCTGAGCTCCAATTCCATAGCTTCAAATGTCTCCTTACATGAGACAGGGAGGTAAAGTTTAGCTACCTCCCCTGTTCTTCTCTCATAACTGTGATTTCTCCCATTATCCAGACTCAAAACCATGAAATCCTATCATCCTGCTCCATTACCAAGTCTTGACTCACCTTTCTCTGAAATTTTCTGGAATCCTTTACAATCTCACTGCTTCTACCACTATCAGCATCCAAGCTCCAGATTTCTGCAGAACTTTCTAGTCTCAAGCAGCATCCATTCCAGGCCCTTCGATACATTGCCATCTGACCTGCCTTCCCAAAGACCCTTTTCTTTATGGCCTTCTCTACCCAAAAATCTTTTGCAGCCCCCTGCTCCTCACTGCCTATTGCAACGAAGCTAAACTCCTTGGCCTGACTTCCCAGAACTTAGCCTGTCCACAGGAGTACCCCCTCCATGCTTATTTGACTCAGCTTCCCCAAGTTCATTCCTGTTTTATTTAGACTTTTCCTAGTCTGTGCCTGATTACCTCTTTTTCTGAATCTTTAAGAGTGCCTCACCCTTTATTTTCTGGCTATACATATCTCCAAGGAGTATTGATACCAGGTGAGATGCTAGGGTCCTCAGGGTCTTCACCACAGACTTTTAGGAGGTAATTATATAATCATATATGACCCTAATTAGGTAAGGTATGTTAGTATTCTTCCTAATGATTATTAACTGTAAACTCCTAATTTTGTGCCCTACACTCTACTAAGCAGTTTACTTGCACTGTTTCACTTAACCTTCACGTCAACCCTGTTAATTTATGGTTAGTGATGTGAATTGTATATTGCTTAGTTTATGAAGCAATGGTTCAAAAGGAGAGCCATAAAAGATTCCACCCTTTCTCTTTAATCATGTGGGGTGTGTGTGTATGTGTGTGTGTGTGTGTGTGTTTGTGTGTGTGTGTTTAATCACAACTTGAAAGAAAATCAGAATAACAATTGATTTCTAGCTGTGAGTCAAAAATATAGGTAAACATTAAATTCAGAACAAAGCAACTACAATAGTTTTAAGAGTTAACACCAAGCACTAAAAGTAGTACTGATCTATATGATATTCCAACACATTTATGCCCCTTTTGTCAGTTTGTTTTTTTTGGAGATGATGGGCAGCTCAGTGACTGAGGGGTCTGTCCACAAAATCCACACTGGGAAACCTAAGGTGTCTCTGCATCTAGCAATGCCCAGAACTGCAGCCCTGGACTGGCATTCCTGCCCTGGCCCATGTGATCATCCTGAAATCAGCCAGGACAGGCTGATACACATGTGCTGGGAGAAGGAGACAGAGCCTGAAAGAGGGGCACATTCACTGGCAGAGAGGGTGACCTGCAGATTCTAAGATTCATTCAGAAAGGCAAAACAAACCCCCGGGAGTTGGGGGTTGCCATATGTGCTTGCCGAAAGATGGGACGCTGGAGCTTTTCATCTAGGGATAAGAAGGCACACTTCCTTGAAAGACAGGAAATTGACTTTGAGTCTCAGGCCTTTCTTGTCCTCCAACTAAATGTGGAACCTCGCCAGGTAGGTAGGTTTGGGGCTGCTGGTGTGGTAGTCTAGAGTGGGCTCCAGCACCCGCAGCCCTACTCCTTAACTCTTCCCCACCCCATGGGTACACACTTTACAGCCATCTCTCTGCTTTTATTTTATTCTTTAAGATTTCATGTGAGCAGAGAGTAACCTAGCTAAAAATTTGAAAAGCACAGCACTCATCTCCATTACATTACATTACAGTTACAGTTCTAACATTTTGCCCAGAATTTAATTTTTTTTTTTTTT